GACAACAAGGTGCAGGGCTGGATGAACACAGCAGGCCAAGCAGCATCATAGGAGCAGAGAGGCTGACGTTTCGGGTCTGAACCCTTCTTCAGAAATGGGGGAGGGGGCTCTGAAATAAATAGGGAGAGGGGTGGAGGGAATAGGTGAGTGCAGGTAGGTCTGGACCCTTCTTCAGAAATGGGGGAGGGGGAAGGAGGCTCTGAAATAAATAGGGAGAGGGATGGGGAGAATAGGTGAGTGCAGGTAGGTGGGGATTGTTCAGTGACAGCTTTCCTGCTCCTCCAGCTCCCACACACACTGTGTTATCTCAGACTCCAGCACAGGCAGTTCCTACTATCTCTGAATGAGTTCCATCCCCATGTAAACTTGGCGTGTGCGTCTCTCGGCAGGGGTGACTTCTCTTTCTCTCTTCCCCACCAAATCCCCCTCCAACTTGCAGCAGGTGAACTTGCTGGCGTTTCAGCGGGCAGGCTGTCCCGGCGAATCCCTTCCTGCGGACGAGAGGCCTCTCTCCCCAGTGTGGACCCGCCGGTGGGTCAGCAGGGTGGAGGACTGGGCGAAGCCCTTCCCGCACACCGAGCAGGAGAACGGCCTCTCCCCGGTGTGGACGCGCTGGTGGCTCAGCAGGTGGGACGACTGGGTGAACCCTTTGCCGCACACCGAGCAGGTGAATGGCCACTCCCCGGTGTGAACCGCCTGGTGATGCCTCAGGGCAGATGAATCGCCGAAACCCTTCCCGCAATCAGAGCAGGAGAACGGCCTCTCCCCGGTGTGAACCCGCCGGTGGGTCAGCAGGTTGGACGACCGAGTGAAGCCCTTCCCGCACTCGGAGCAGATGAACGGCCTCTCCCCGGTGTGGACCCGCTGGTGTCTCAGCAGGGTGGAAGACTGAGTGAAGCCCTTCCCGCACTCGGAGCAGGAGAACGGCCTCTCCCCGGTGTGAACGGGCCGGTGGGTCAGCAAGTGGCACGACTGAGTGAAGCCCTTCCCGCACTCGGAGCACACGAACGGCCTCTCGCCGGTGTGGACCCGCCGGTGCTTCTGCAGCGTGGACGAATCTTTGAAGCCCTTCCCGCACTCGGGGCAGGAGAACGGTCTCTCCCCGGTGTGGACCCGCCGGTGTCGGAGCAGGGTGGAATTGTCTCTGAACCCTTTCCCGCACACCGAGCAGGTGAAAGGCCTCTCCCCGGTGTGAACGTGCTGGTGGGTCAGCAGGGCGGACGAGTGAGTGAAGCCCTTCCCGCACACGGAGCAGGCGAACGGCCTCTCCCCGGTGTGGACCCGCCGGTGTCGAAGCAGGGACGACGACTTGGTGAACCCCTTCCCACAGTCGGAGCAGGCGAACGGCCTCTCCCCGGTGTGAATGCGCCGGTGAATCTCCAGCGCAGACGGGGAACGGAAACCAATCCCACAATCTCCGCATTTCCAGGGCTTCTCCATGAGGCGTGAAGTTAAGTTTTAAAGTCTTGCCCCGATACCATACACGTGCGCACGGTCTCTCCTCAAAATAAATGCTGCGCAGTTTTATCAGGTCCCACAGTGTTTCCACAGTTGACAGGAACACTCTCACTCGGGTACGTGCATGTCTTGAGGCTCTCCCAGATACACCGATCTTTAAAACCTTTTGAAACAGACAGAACCAAGAAACATTACTCCTTCTAGATCTAAAGGCTGATGGTATTCAATCAAGCGACTGTCAGATGGCTTATGCTACAACACCGCGGCTTCAAGAGGTCGACTTTGTCCTTTATTTTAAAGAGAGGTTTTCAGAGAGAGGTGCAGGGATGTCTATTTGGAAAGCCAAAAATGCAAACAGCTTGTGAGGCCTTGAGTTTCTATTTTAGAAAGTTCAAACAATAAGAGGCAGCCTGCTCAGGTGTGTCCAACCTCCTCAGAACCAGGATTTTCAGTTTTAGCTTTCAGCAGTTGCTGATGGGGTCTAGAAGTAGTAGAAGCTATTTTTTCCCCCTCTCTGTTACAGCTAAAAGCCAGAGGAAATCTCTTCCTGCAGCTGGACTTGCATGTGATAAAGCGTGTTTTCTGAATTTGCCTTTTGCCGAGGGTGTGTTTATGAGACGTTACTACATTGGAACAGTTACTGTTTAGTAGTTAACTATTCTATTAGCCGGTTAAGTTTTCCAATAGTGTTACAGCTAAACCAATTCTTTTCTTTATCCTTTTCTGTTCTTGTCTTTCAACTAGAGTGTATGAATAAATTAGGAGAGAGATAGGAGGAACTGCCGATGCTGGAGAATCTGAGACAACAAGTCTATGTATGAATAAATTGTGTTTTGCTTTAAATCGAGTAGTTTGACCAAGCAAATTGCATCTTGAATGCTACATCTTACACTTACCTTTAAAATAAGAAAAAAAGTTAGGGTCTAGGCTACCTTCCTAATATATTTTGAGGGGGTTTGGTCTGGTCCACAACACTTAGCTTGAGATTTTTGTCTGAAATTCCACCCCTTTAAAATATCTTGCAAATGGAAAATTCAAAAGTCAGTGTCCGTACAGGGGAGAAATTCAGAACGGACAATTCTGGTAGGAGCAAATTTCTGCAGTTGCTGGAATCCGTACTGAAAAAAAAGAGCTGGGCTCTGATGAAGAGTCATCTCAACTCGAAACGAGTGTTAGCTCTTCACGGATGCTGCCTGACCCATTGTGATCTCCAGCATTTTTTTTTTGTTTTCAGACAATTCTAGTTCCCTGGGAACATTCATTTTTCTCTTGTTCCCCAAAAGCTGTAAATCTCCACCCCCACACCCTCTGCCTTCATTTTCACTCTGGCGTAGGTCATATCCCTCTCCCCATTTTCCTGGAGGGTCCAATTGACTGTCCCACACTTACCTCTTCCTGTCTCGCTCAGAGAGAGAGGTGAAAATCTTCAGGCAGGGAGAGTGGCACTGGATGCAAACGGATTGATGCCAACACCAAAGGGAAGGAGATCGTGCCCAGAAATGAAGGAGGATAAAATGCATATGTGCCCCCCACCCCCGAGAGTGCGCATTGATGCTGGTCCCGAGTTGAAAATGCTCCGAGTCTATCCTGTGCAAAATGCTGTCCTTACAAACGAGACTGGCAAAACCTGCTGCTGGGATTCCAATGTTCCAGGGGAGGGCTGAGGGACTGCGCATGGGCAGCGGGTGTCGGTGTCGTCACAAAGGGCTTCGCACAGAGTGACCAATGGGAAGCCCTGGAGGACCGGAAGGGGTCTGGTCCTCCTGCCAATCGGAGCTCCCCTATTGTCTGAATGCGGAAGGGTTTTTCTGAAGAAGGGTGTCGACCCGAAACGTCATCGTTCCTGCTCGTTTGATGCTCCCTGGCCTGTTGTTCCTCCAGCTCCACACTGCGTTATCTCTGACTCCAGCATCGGCAGTACTTACTGTCTCTGAGCTCCTCAGGCTGCTCCTCTCTCTCTCTCTCCCTCTCCCTCTCTCTGAAGATTGAGCTTCACCCCCAAGGCTGCAACTTCCTCCTCTGTCCAACATCTGTGAGCGCAACACATTTTTTCACCTGCCCCCTTTTCCGTTTATTTTCTCATTCTGGGATTAAAGTGTCGGTTTGCAGGAAGTGAAGGGAAAGGAGGTGAATTCCGGCAGGGGACAGACTTTGGGAAATGTTGTTCCAGGTCTGTCTCTTAATTGGCAAGCGCATGGCAGATGCAGTTCAATGTGAGGCGAAAGACTTTTGATGTGAAAAAGACAGAAAGGGGGAGCGTTGTTAACATAGTCGTGTATGGGATGCACAAAAAGTCCAGTCGATGAAAGTCTTCAGACAGATGCAGCAAGCAATGAGCAAGGCAAGTGGTATATTTCTGAATTTCTGAAGAAGGGTCTAGGCCCGAATCATCAGCTTTCCTGCTCCTCTGATGCTGCTTGGCCTGCTGTGTTCATCCAGCTCTACACCTTGTTATCTCGGATTCTCCAGCATCTGCAGTTCCTACTATCTCTGGTAAATTAGTCTTCCTTGCAAGAGGAATTGAGTTCAGAACTGGGGATGTCTACCTGTAGTTATGCAGGGCTTTGGTGAGACCACATCTGGAGTTTTTGTTAATGTTTTTCTCTTACATCCTTTTACTCACTCAACTCAACACGTTTTAAGTGCCTGTCTAAAAGAATGGGCTCTTTCCTCTTGTTCACAATGAAACAAGTGGTTTCCCCAGGAAATAGTTGTCAGTTAACCAGTCAGCAGAGTAAACTTCATCGTCTGTTAGTGGTACAGACCTTGAACATCATTGAATAAAGGAACGACATGCTGAGGAGATTTTGTCTTTAAGTCATATCACTCTTTGGTCCAACCAGTCCTAAACTAGCCTGTGCTTGGACCACATCTCTCCAAACATTTCTTATTCATGTACTTATCTAAATGTCTTTTAAATATTGTAACTCTACCCACATGCACCACTTCCTCAGGAAGCTCATTCCACACACTAACCATTCTCTGTGTAAAGAAATTGCCCCTCATGTATTTTTTCCAAACTGTCTCCTCTCACCTTAAAAAATGTCCCCTTGTCTTGAAATTCCCCACCCTAGGGAAAAGACACCTACCATTCATCTTCTCCATACCTCTCATGATTTTATAAACCTGTATGAGGTCATCCCTCAACCTCCTATGCTCCAGTGAAAAAAGTCACAGCCTATCCAGCTTCCTTATAACTCAAACACTTCATTCGTGGCAAAATCCTGGTAAATCTCTTGTGAGCCCCTTCCAGCTTAATAATATCCTTCCTATAGCAGGACGATCCAAACTGGACAACAGTACTCCAGAAGATGCCTCAACATGACCTCCCCAACTCCTATACTCAGAGGTCTGAGCAATGTACTCATCAGGACAGATGTAGGAATAATAACTCTTGTAACAGACCAACAGGTTGTACTGCATGAGGAACAGGGGTCTCATCTTTTCTGAGGGCTCTTTTGTGAGACATTCTACGGGGTTAGGTTTGGATTTTCAGCAGCTCCTTTCTCATTCTGTCTAAGTCCTTCCTTCGACAATGCAGTCAGTCTCGTGACCTTTAGAAATTATGTGGATTTGTTTAAGGATTTTCTTCCATGTGATCACCGAGTAAGAGTCGTAATGATTGTGTGCGCACATTATTAAATCTCTCACTTGAAATCTATAAATAAGACACCCTTGCTTATTGATAGCCAAAATGGCAAATCTTGAACTAGCTAACACAGGTTACAATGAGTGGTCTCCAATTTAAGACAGACATGAGGAATTTATTCTCTCAGGGAGTTGTTAGTCTGTGAACTGCTCTCTCTCAGCGAGCAGTGGAGGTTGGGCCATTGAATATATTCAAGGCTGAGTACAGCTGATTTTTCAGCAACAAGGAAACTCAATAGTAATGGGGGAAGGCAAGAAAATAGTTTCAAGGCCACAACGGAACAGCAATGATCTGATCAATGCTAGTGCAGGCTTGGCCTACTCCTGCTCGCAATTCTCACACTTTGTGTCCAGGACAGCAAGAGGTCCGGGGGTGGGTGGGGCCTTCAGGAAAATGGGCAGGGGAGATATTAGGTACGACAGAGTGAGAATTGAGGGTGAGAGTGTGGGATGGAGATTTACAGCTTTTGGGGAATGAAAGGGGAAAGAGTTCAGTCAAAATTAGAAACAAAAACAGAAATTGCTGGGAAAGCTCAGTGGTCTGGCAGCATCTGTGGAGAAAGATCAAGATTAGTGTTTCAGGTTGAATGACCCTTCCTCAGAATTTTCAAAAGAAATTACAATTGTCTGTTCTGAACTTTTTTCTTCAGTACGGCCAGCTATAACTTTGTACTTCTTTTCACAGGAAGTTAGCAGGGGAGGATTCGCAGACAGAAACGCCCCCAACCAAACGTCATGTCGAGATTTGACAGAGTAATTTGGCAGAATCCAGAAGTAGTAATGTTTGTCTGATCGTATTTGGAGCATCTGGAAAATAGCACCAACACACACCCAGACCTCAGTGAGTGTAGACTGCATAAAGAACACGAAAAGCTGACCCAACCCGAAGAGACGTAGGAGAATTCACAGCGAGGAGAGACTCTGGATGTGAATAAGTCTTCAACCTGTCACTGAACCTGGGCAGGCACTGGGCCATGGAGAAACCTTGGAAGTGTGCGGACTGTGGGAAAGGGTTCCTCTCCCCGTCTGCACTAGAGACCCACCGGCGCGTTCACACCGGGGAGAGGCCGTTCACCTGCTCCACATGTGCTAAGGGCTTTGCTCAGTTGTGCAGCCTGCTTTCGCACCAGCGGGTCCACACAGGGGACAGGCCGTATACCTGCTCCGTGTGCGGGAAAGGGTTCACTCATTCGTCCGCCCTGCAACGCCACCAGCGACTCCACACCGGGGAGAGGCCGTTCACCTGCCCGGTGTGCGGGAAGGGCTTCAATCAGTCGTGCAGCCTGCAGTCGCACCATCGGGTCCACACCGGGGAGAGGCCGTACTCCTGCCCGGTGTGCGGGAAGGGATTCACTCACTCCTCCGCCATGCTGAGGCACCGGAGGGTCCACACCGGGGAGAGGCCGTACACCTGTAGCCTGTGCGGGAAGGGCTTCAGTCAGCTGTGCAGCCTGCAGACCCACCGGCGGGTCCACACGGGCGAGAGGCCTTACGCCTGCCCAGAGTGCGGGAGAGAATTCAGCGACTCGTCCGCCCTGCTGAAGCACCGGCGAAGCCACAGCGGGAAGAGGCCCTATGCCTGCTCCCAGTGCGGCAAGGGCTTCATTCAGTCCTCCCACCTGCTGAGGCACCAGCGCATCCACACCGGGGAGAGGCCGTTCTCCTGCTCCGTGTGTGGGAAGGGCTTCACTCGCTCCTCCCACCTGCAGAGGCACCAGCGGGTGCACAGTTGACCGCAGGCCCTTCCCCCCGCTCCCTCTGGGCATGGGGGTGTTGTGCCTGTTAGTCATTACCTCCAGGATTGAACCCAGTTCATTTCAGACAGCGGGTGAAGCCGGGAGGGGTTTCCTTTTTCTGCTGGCCTGGCCGCTTTCGCTTCCACTGCACGATTCCCCAACTGAAATGACCCCGCCGAAGGAAGTGGATTCGTTGCTGAATGAAAAAGGACGCGCGCTGTTGAAGCTTCTCCTCTTGCACCCGGTCAGGACATGGACACAAGAGTGCCAAAACTCCAAGAGGAACAGCTGAGCAAAAGGCTGCTGATTGGCTGTGGCGAATCACCTCCGATTGGTCCAAGGTATGGCCGTGACAATCCGCCAGGGAACAATTGTGGCCCCGTTTGTGGTTAAGATGTAACATGTTATTTGTATTGTTTTGGAATGTGGATTTTTTTTTTAAAAGTGGTGAAATTGAAAAGTTTTGCAAATGTCGCATTTTTTTTTAGACATCGGAAAGCTTTTCGGATCTAAATACAAAATCGTGTCCCACTAACTTGATTGAGTTTTGTTCTTGAAGAGGTGACAAAGAAGGATTGATGAAGGCAGAGCGATAGATGCTGTCTGCATGGACTTCGGCACAGCGTTGGACAAGGTTCTGCGTGATAGTGGTTAGCAAGGTTAGATCACATGGGATCCAGGCGGAGCTAGCCATTTGGATGCAAAATTGGCTTAAAGGTAGGAGACAGAAGGTAGTGGTAGAGGATCGTTGTTTGGACTGCAGGCCTGTCACCAATGGTGTGCCAAAAGGATCAGAGCTAGGTCCACTGCTTTTTGTCATTTATAGAAATGATTTGGATGTGAATATAGGAGGCATAGCTGGAAGGGTTGCAGATGACACCAAACGAGGTGATCTATTGAACAGGGAAGAAGATTAACTCTGAGTACAAAGGGGCCTTGATCAGCTGGGCCAGTGGGCAGATGGGGTTTAATACCGATAAATGTGAGAGGTTGCATTTTGATAAGGCAAACCAGGGCAGGACTTATACACTTAATGGCAGGGGAATGTTCCCAAACAGAGCCCTTGGAGTGCAGGTGCATCGTTCCTTCAAAGTGGAGTGACAGGTAGACCAGACAATGAAGAAGGCGTTTGGTACACTTGTCTTTATTGGTCAGTGCTTTGAGTATAGGAGTTGGCACATCATGTGGCAATACAGGACACTTTTTTAGAATACTGTGTACGGCTCTGGTCGCCTTTCTATAGAAAGGATGTTGTTAAGCTTGAGAGTGTGCAGA